TCGAATCCCCGCTTCTTTGGTTCGGAATTTGGCTTAAAACCAGGAAATCCCGACTCGCACGGCCAGGGTGCACGGCCGTGCATATCACCATTCTGGCCGTGCAACTCAAAACGCAGCGTGTCATTTAGTCGAACTTAGCCCTCTCGCACGGCCAGGGTGCACGGCCGTGCGAGCTTCAGGGGTTGCCCGTGCGTGTCCTCGGCATAAGGCGCACGGCCATATTGCTCACGTGCAAGGCCGTGCAGCCTCCCTGGTCTGCCCGTGCAGCTCCCCAAAAACCTCGCCATTCGTCCGTTCTTCGTCCAATCGACCCCAGACTCGCTCCTAAGCCTTCATTCACGTACTAGGACCTGAAACATCACAAACAAGCACAACCTAGCGTGAAATCGGTCTAAACCACGGGAAATCACATCTCAAACGGTGTAAGAACAGGGGTAAAAACATGTGTAATTAACGGTCTATCACTTTCATTGATCAGATGCTGGAGAGGTTGGCTGGCCATGAGTTATATTGCTTCCTGGATGGCATGTCTGGTTATTTCCAGATTCCTATTGCACCAGAGGATCAGGCGAAGACCACATTCACTTGCCCTTCGGCACTTTTGCTTACCGGAGGATTCCATTCGGGCTGTGTAATGCACCGGCGACCTTCCAGAGATGCATGATGGCGATCTTCGACCGACTGGTAGGGGAGATCATGGAAGTCTTCATGGATGACTTCTCGCTTTATGGAGATTCCATCACTCATTGTCTCCATAACCTGGAACTCGTTCTGAAGAGGTGCGAGGAGACTAATCTGGCACTTAGCTGGGAGAAGTGCCATTTTATGGTCCGTGAGGGGATTGTGCCGGGCACAAGATCTCCAAGCAGGGGATTGAGGTGGATCGCGCGAAGATTGAGACGATCAGTAAGCTAACTCCTCCCGTTTCTGTGGAGGGGATTCGCAGCTTTATGGGTCATGCAGGCTTCTACCGGCGCTTCATTAAAGATTTCTCGAAGATTGCCATGCCTCTGACCAAGCTGCTGGAGAAGGATGCACCATTCCAGTTCACTCCTGAGTGCACAGCTGCATTCGAGACTCTGAAGGAGAAGCTTACCCATGCACCTATCATGGTGAGTCCTGACTGGTCTCTTCCTTTTGACCTGATGTGCGATGCGAGTGATTATGCAGTCGGAGCAGTTCTGGGTCAGAGACGCGGGAAACACTTCCAGCCCATCTACTACGCGTCTAAGACCTTGAACGATGCACAGGAGAACTACACCACCACTGAGAAGGAGCTCCTCGCCGTGTTGTATGCGTTTGATAAGTTCCGACCCTATCTGGTGCTCTCCCATGTGGTGGTCTACACTGACCACTCGGCGATTCGCTACCTGATGAGCAAGGCTGATGCAAAGCCTAGGCTCATCCGCTGGATCCTGCTCCTACACGAATTTGATATCGAAATCCGGGAAAAGAAGGGAGCCGAGAATGTTGCTGCAGATCATCTTTCACGATTGGAAGCCCCTCCGGTGGACAACTTCGTGGAAGAGATCAATGACTCCTTCCCGGGTGAGAGATTGCTGGCGATGACACTAGTGGAAAGCGTGGTCCCTTGGTATTCTGACTTTGCCAATTATCTGGTGGGCAAGCAGCTACCTAAGGGGATGGCCACTCATGCAAAGCGCAAGTTCTTATCCGACCTGAAGCACTACTTCTGGGAGGATCCTTACCTCTTCAGGATCGGAGCAGATGGCGTGATCCGTCGCTGTGTCATGGAGCATGAGATGACGAGGGACCTACTGGAGGTCACCATGGAGGAAACCGCACGGCGCGGAAGGTACTATAGTCGGGCTTCTATTGGCCCTCACTCTTCAAGGATGCAGACACCTTCGCACGACAGTGCGACCGTTGCCAAAGGTCAGGTAACATTTCTGCCCGGGATGAAATGCCCCAACATATTTCTGTCATCTGTGAAATTTTTGATGTTTGGGGTATCGATTTCATGGGCCCATTCCCTCCATCTTTTGGCAATCTGTACATATTGGTTGCAGTGGACTACGTCTCGAGGTGGGCAGAAGCTCAAGCCATGCACACCAATGATGCAAGACGGGTCTGCTCATTTCTGAAGCAGCTGTTCTCCCGGTTCGGGACACCCCGCGCCATCATTAGTGATAGAGGAACCCATTTTCAAGGGCAATTCACTAAGCTCCTCTCTCGCTATGGTGTTAAGCATCAGGTGTCGGTGGCTTACAACCCCCAGTCAAATGGGCAAGCCGAGCTGACAAACCGGGAACTTAAACGGATAATTGAAAAGATGGTGGATCAGTCCCGCAAGGATTGGTCCACCAAGCTCGATGATGCTCTTTGGGCATATAGGACGGCCTATAAAAACCCGATTGGCATCTCTCCCTGTAGGCTTGTCTATGGGAAGGCGTGTCATCTGCCAGTAGAGCTAGAGCACAAGGCCTTCTGGGCCATTAAGCTGCTAAACCTGGATTTGAGTGTTGCAGGTACTGAACATAAGTTGCAGCTGCTGGAGTTGGAGGAATGGCGTTACCACGCCTACGAGAACACCCTGCTCTACAAAGAGCGAACCAAGCGTCTCCACGACGCTCGGTTGAGGGGCCCGAAGGAGTTTCGGGTAGGTGATCGTGTTTTGCTCTTCAATGCACGCCTGAAACTCTTTCCGGGCAAGCTACGTTCGAGGTGGTCGGGACCTTTCACGGTCACCCGAGTTTTCCCGCACGGTGCGGTGGAGATCAGCAATGCTCAAACTGAGCCATTCAAGGTGAATGGCCACCTCCTAAAGTTGTACTTGGGAGCTGCTGTCGAGCACGTAGAGTTGTTGATCAAGCTCGAGGACCCTTACTTCCTCTACTGGCGTCCAGCTAAAAGACGGTAAAGAAGCGCTTGTGGGGAGGCAACCCCACCTAGGTTTGCATTTTCTTACCTTTTTCCTTTTGATTTTTTGTGTTTTTGAGTCTTGAGGTGTTGTTCTCGAGTCGCATGTCATTTTTGAGTGAAAACAGGTCAAATTCAGAGTTCTGGCAGGCCACACGGCCAGCCCTGAAAGTCACACGGCAGTGTGAAAATGGGTTTTAGCCGTGTGAGCTCTCGACAATTTCCACATGGCCAGCCCTGAAAGTCGCACAACCGTGTGGAAATCCTCCCCTGCCCGTGTGTGTTCTCGTCAATTTCCACACGGCCGTGTGGAAATCCTCGGCCTGCCCATGTCGGCCTACACGGGCACATGTGCACCTCACACGCCCGTGTGAGTATGCCCGTGTGGCTGAGCCCAGCCTTTAAATTTTGGTCGGCACGGCCGCGTGGTCAGAAAAATCAAATCCTCTCGCCGGAAAATCGCGACCCTTCACCCTCTTTGGCGATTTTCACCCATTTTTGGTCGGTTTTTCACCAAACCACCTCCACACCCATCCTTTTTCACCCCATTTTCGGCCTATCCCTTGACTTTGAGGCGATTTGGACCGATTTTGAGTCGTCGGAGGCGATTTTCGGCGAGACTCCGACGAGCACTTCCGGGCAGATTTTGGCCTCTTCGTCGCTTCCATGCCTTCCCCTCATCATCCCCTACACCTCTACTTGTGTCTGCAGTTTTGATTTTGACCTTAACCTTGTTATTTATGGAGAATTGGGTATTAGGGTGTAGGTTTAGTGAACCACTTTGAATCATGTGAATTGTGTGCAATTGATTGAGGGGAATGCTTGGTTTATGTGTGAATGAGGTTGGGCAATGTCCCTCTTGCTTGATTGAGCCCTTGTGTGCTATGAATTTGTCAATTTCATGCTTAACTTAATAGTGCACACAAGGTGTTCGATAAAATGCCTGTTTTCGTACCATTTTGTGGGAGCCGGTTGGGGCCCTTAATAAAGTGCTTTGAGGGTGTGTTTGCTATGGATGTGAACCTTGAGTTGCCTACTTTTTCATGGATGTGCACCCCCACCCCGATTATGCTTGTTTGATTGAGTTTTTGACCCCCAAACTATGGATGAAACCATGGTTCAGCTGTTTTCTGTTCTTAAGTGTGGGGGTGTGATTAACTTTTTCCTTGGCTCTTTTGGTTCCACTTTGGGTTGTTCTTTTGCAGGACCCTGACGAAGCCCGACCTCAAGCACCCGTTTATTTGAGATTTGAAGAAGGGCCCCCACCAGGATCGTTTTAAGAGCATCCTGGCCTGCAAGTTTGGGCAGCACCATTGCTGGTCCAAGCGGGAGTTTGAGAAGCTGAACTGCTACAAGCACTTCTCCGCCATTGTCACCAACCGCCCCTGGCGCCGTCTACTCTGCATTCGCGAGAAGGTTTACCACGAGCTCGTGCTTGAGTTCTACACGACCTTCAAGCACGCAGACACGGAGGATTGGAAGGACGGAGAAGCAGTCAAGTTCAGGCTCGGCGGTGCACCCCGATCCATGAGCTACCACGAGCTGGCGACCGCCCTCGGCCTCGGGCTGGCCAATGATGAGGACTACATGACCGAGCTCACCGAGCCAGAGGGGGTGGACTTCAGGACACTGTACACCCGCCTCGCTCGGCCAGGCCAGCGTCCCTTCGCGGCGGGGAATACGAAGGCCAGCACCTTGCAGCTCGACAACCAAATTATCCACCACTTGTTGGCAAAGTCCTACACCCCAGCTTCGGACACTGCCAGCTCCATCACCCGGAGAGCCATGTACTTCATCCAGTCCATGCGCCAGGAGGATCATCTTCTCCACTTGGATTCTGTGGTGACAAGAACCTTCGACAAGAGTGCTTCAGAGCTGAAGAAACTACACTGCACTCCCCTCATCACCCGCCTGGCCACCTACTTCCAGATATCACTGCAGGGGTGCACAGAGCAGGGGGACACCAGTGTCTTTGGCGCATATACGATAGGTCGCATGCACCTGTTTCGAGAAGAGCGAGGAGTCAAGTGGATCGAGGGGTTTCCTCAACCTCAGATCCCAGAGGAGGACTAGCCGGAGGTTCCTGAGGGTGCGGATGATGAGGATGTCCACCCCGAGGATGTGGATGATACTGCTGCCGTCCCGCCCCACCACCTTCGAGTACGGGGGTGGCAGTTCCACTTTCCTCGGCCAGGACTACTTCACTCAGCAGTTCGAGCAGCTGCGTCTCTAGAATCAGCATCTCTACGACCATCAGCTCCAGTTTCAGCAGCAGTATTCGGCTCACCATGCCGAGTACCAAACTCAGATGGCCGCTTATGATGAGCGTCTTGATCGGATGGAGACCCAGCAGGGGGTGACCCTGGCTCGCATCGAGAGGGAGTAGGCACGATCTCGGCCCATGCAGGAGGTCCAACAGCACCTGCTCCAGCTGCTACCGGGCGAGCAGCCAGTCTGGAGGACTCCCTGGGAGGACTCTCCACTTCCACCTCCACCAGCTGATGATGATGATGCATTCATGAATGACATAGATCTGGACAACCTTGGTGACGAGTAGGCTATACTTGTCGCCCCTCAGTGTGTGCTTTTTTAGACTTTTTATGTTTGCGCCATGTGTTTGAGGAGCTTGAACTGAGTCTATCGTTTGTTTTTGTTCTTTTGGTTTTCTTTTGTGGATTGTTTCTTTTGTGGCCATTTGGACCAACTATGATCCCTAACGCACAATGTGCTTGTGTGTTCTTGTTATTCCCTTCGTGCAGAACTGCCCGTTCGTTCGATAAGTTCCCCGCCGACTGGTCCACTACAGTCTCCCGCAGCATTTCAATCCGGTAACATCGTTCCCCTTATCTCTCCCTATGCTCCATTGAGGGCAATGTCGTGCTTAAGTGGGGGGGGGGGGGGTGCTTTGTATCGGTTGGAATCTATATACATGTGCTTGGAGCCTAGTCCGCTGTCCAAATCTCGAGATTTGAGGGCTCCAAGTACGGCTGTTTGATCATATTGCCACTGTGTTTTGATTGGTGAATTGAATGGTTTTCGGATTAATGCATGACAACTGGATTGTGACTAGGACAACCTATAATGATGACTGAGACGTGCAGTAGGATTGTGTAGGGGTTCAGTTTTTCAACTGTTTGCTTACCAACTGTGACTTGAATGGATCACTTATTCTTGACAGTCGTTTATGCATCTAGTTCAGGGAATCAGAATGAGAGATAGAGCATATAGGTAGCCATGTGAGATTTGAGCCTGCTCGTTTCTTTCTTGTGCGATAGTTCCCTCTTCCATGATGTGTAGCATTCACGTTGTCATTAGCTAAGATGGAGGCATAGGATTAACCCACGACCAAATTGACTGTCCTAGTGTGTCATACCCCCTAGTCAGCCCCTTTGAGCCGTGTGATAACCTTTCTTTCGGTCTGAAATGAAAAATCACCCTTTTGCATCTCTTAGAAGGTTCCACAGAGTGGTTTTTGCATGTTCTCTGCTGTTTCTGCTAATTATAATGTGAGAGTTGGAGGTAGTTCTTAAAAAGTTGGGCAGGTGTTTGAAAATGTGCAGAGGTGGTGGTTCTCTTAAGAAATGAAAAAAATGAAAGAAAAACAAAGAAAAAATGGAAGCAAAAGAGAGTCACCACCAAAAATCTAAATAGTGCCCATTAAGTAGTGTTTCTTAGCAGTCTGGCTTAGAAATACTAACATTTATGTGACCTCCTTCGCTCTTGTGCTCTGAAGAATTTGAGTAATGCAGAATAGCAGAAAGAAAGTACTGGATTGATTGACTGTGAGTTTGTTGGGTTTGGAATAGTGGAACCTTTTGCTATGAATACTTCCACCACCTAAAAGGCTTTTTCCCCATGTCCAAGACCCTAGCTAGTCACTTGAACCTTTGTCTAAGACCTTCGGATTAATTAGTGATGACACCCATTTATGTGAACTCTAACTCTTAGAGGCTGCCGTCATGGTGAAGAGATGTTAGAAATTGAGAGAATAAGTATGCGCATTTTTCGCATCAAATTGGCCTGACCCCACTGGTCGAGAGTGAGTGATTCATTTCCTTGTTCTTTACACTCTTTACCCCGGTGAGGACCTAGATGGCTCGGTCTTGATTCTGATGTCTTGATTTTTATGCATGAGTTGACTGTCTTGAGTAAGTGGTTGAGTCAAGTCTATGTTGGTTGATGAACAGAAGGGAGACTCCTCCTTTATTCAATTTTGCTGCACTCAAATGTCGTCTGTGGTGGTTGTCCAGGTTGCCATTGAAGTTGTTCATGTGTTGCTGTTTTAAAGCCAGTATGATTCACGTGTTTCTGTGCCTATATGATTTGTCCCCAGTGTTGGTATGATTGGAATATGTGAGCTTACCTTGTGTCTGACTTGGTTTGCTTGGGGACAAGCAAACGGTTAAGTGTGGGGGAGTTTGATAAACCGTTAATTGCACATGTTTTCACCCCTATTCTTGAGCCGTTTGAGATGTTGATTCTTGTGTTTTAGGCCGATTTCACGCTAGGTTGTGCTTGTTTGTGATATTTCAGGTCCTAGTACGTGAATGAAGGTTTAAGAGCGAGTTCGGGGTCGATTGGACGAAGATCGGACGTGGGGCGAGTTGCTGAGGAAGCCACACGGGCACCCATAAAACCTACACGGCCGTGTAGGAAATCAATGTGGCCGTGTGGAATTCTGTGAGGCTTCACACGGGCAGACTGGGCATGCCATAAGGCCGTGTGTCCCTGCCCGTGTAGGAAGCCTGAAATCCAATTACTCGGAACGGGACGTTTTGTCTCTCACACGCGCATCTGGGTAAGCCACACGGCCGTGTGGCCTGCCCGTGTGAGTCGGGAATTCTGGTTTTTACCCAATTTCGAGCCACAAGTGAGAGAATCGACTTTTCAGAGCAAAAAACAGTTTTAGAGAGAGAAAGGGCGAAGAACAAACCCTAGGAGCTATTTGGAGTGGATTTCTAACCATTGAAGCCCAGATTGCGTCCCCAGGAGTGAAGATTGACATCCCAGAGCAGATTTTCCTCATCTTTATGAGTATGACTACTCTGATTTCTGTTTTCCTCTCTCTCTCTATGGAGTAGAACCCTTCTCTCACTTGGGTATGAAGAACCCTAGTTCCATGTGTTAGGGAATTGATTGTAATGACTTGGGATGATTATACTGTTTGGTTTTAATCGAATGATGCATGTTTCATTGAATTGATTGAAGTCTGGTCAGCTTTCCTTGATTTCTGCTGCAACCTGAGATAGATAGAATCTGATTTGGTTGTTAGAGCTTCATCATTCGTTAGTAGTGGATTGGTGATAACGATGTAAATGCACATGTTTGCGCCCCTAGTTCTTATCCGTTTGAGGAGTATAGTCGTGTGTTTTGGCCTATTTTACGCCGGGTTGTGCTATTTTGTCATGTTTCAGGTCCCAGGTGTCAAAGGGAAGGCTAAGCGCGAGTTTCGGGGCATTCGGAAGTCATTTCGGTGAGCTGGAGCCAAAACACGGGCAGACCCAAGGCATTACACGGCCGTGTACTGCTGGCCGTGCTTTTTATGCCGAGAGCAAATTTGGTTTGGCCAATTCAGTTGCAAACACGGGCACTGAAGCACGGCCGTGTTCAGTCAAAGAACGGCCGTGTCCATCGCGAAGCACGGCCGTGTTTCAACCAGCTGCTGGCCGTGTAATTAAGCCCTGGCCGAGGAACGGGCGGAGTCAGGCAAAGCACGGCCGTGCCCTCGACCGTGCTTTGGCCACTGATGCTTTTAAGCAGAGTTTCAGCCACAATTCAAGGGGATTCGAGTTTTTGAGAGAGAGATTAGTTCCTAGAGAGAGAAAGTGACGAGCAAGAGTTCCCAAGTGCCCTAGATTGATCTTCAACACCATTGGAGGCCAGCTTGAGCTTGGAGAAGTGCCGATCAACGTCCAGAAGCAGGAATCCATCCTTCGCAGTATGAATTCCGTGTCTGATTCTGCTTTTGCTTTCTTCTCCATGGAGTAGTTTTCCCATTCATCTGGGTATGGAGAACCCTAGATTTGTATGTTAGGTTTGATTGTATGAACCCAAGTACTGATTCTGTGATTGATTATATTCGATTGAGGTTTTAATGATTGAATGACTTGAATCCTGATCAAATTCCTGTTGTTTCTGCTTTAACCTAGAATGAGAATATCTGCCTAGGTTAATAGAATATCCTTGATTGAAGGTAGGGAGTTGGTGACTTTAGTCGAGGAGCCAACTCACTATTCTGTACCGGATTTACTCCGGTAGTGGAGGTTTTGATCTTAGGGCCTCAATCTGCCGACTCCGGTGGAGGTTAGTCGCCCGCTAGAGAGTCAGATTGAGAGGGTCTGAAGACCTTTAGTCGAGACTTCAGGCTGTTTAAGAACCTTCCGCAGTATAACTGTCATAGAAACTGAACTTGGTAATTACAATCCGGCTTAACTGCAGTCTAGGGGGAACCATATCCGGGTGACCTCTTTAACTTGAATACAACTGTTTGTTTGCTTTGTTAGTTTGTTAGTTTAGACTTGCATTCCAGTTTCATTGCTAGATAAACACGAATTCACTGAGTAGTCATCATATCTAGGACCCGGGTTGATAATTAAACCCAAACCCGCTATACTACGCTTTAGGAAGTGGTTTCACTTGGCCAATTCCTGGAGTGACAGTAGAGTCGAGTCAAGTTTTTGGCGCCGTTGCCGGGGACGGCTAGGTTGTTGAAGAAAAGTGATTTCTGTTAATTTAGCTTTTCTTTTTGCTTTGTTTTCTTTGTCCCACTTGTGCCTTCACGGGTTTGTTGCATGAGTGTGTGCAGGTAGTGCATGACCCGTAGCCAGTCGGGAGGTTTACTGCCGTTGAATCCAGAGATTGACCGCACCTGCCGCCAGCTCAGGAGACAACAGCGAGCTAGACTGGCTACGGAAGAGCGCATAGACGGCCACCTGAGCAGCGATTCTGAAGAAGAGCACGGGATGGACGGAGACTACAACCAACACCAGGGGAATCCACAGCAGGTTCCCCCGGTGAATCGAGATCAAGCCATGCTGGATTCAGCTCATCACATCCTCTATCCAGCTCCATGGCTTGAAGGATGAGGAGGCCAGGGTACATATGTCCCGTTTTCTGCAGCTGACAAACGGGTTCAAGCTGAACGGTGTTCCCGATGATGCGATCCGCATTCATCTCTTCCCCCATTCTCTGGCGGGGAATGCTAAGAGGTGGTTGGAGACCCAGCCCCCATTGTCCATCACCTGTTGGGACGATCTGGCGGACAAGTTCGTGCACAGGTACTATCCGGCATCGAAGACTACAGAGATTCAGCGGGAGATCACTCACTTCCGCCAGGAGCCAGATGAGTCACTCCGTGATGCTTGGGAGCGGTACATGGGCTACTTCTGGCAGTGCCCCCACCATGGCTTTAGTGATGCTTTCACTGTGGGGAACTTTTACAGTGCCCTCTCTCCAGATAGCCAGAGGGTGATTGAGTCTTTATGCCCAGGAGGGGATGTTCTCACTAAGACTCCACCCGAGCTGAACCAGATGATCAGTACTTTGGCTGCCAGAGATCATTCTTGGGGACAAGGTAGCCGAGGCAGACAGTCCCGGGACCGTGGTGTGCACGCCATGGAGACCAGATCCAGGCTCGAGCAGCAGGTAGCTGAGCTAGTGCAGACATTGAAGCAGCCTAACAGTCTTATTCCGGGCAGAGGTTTGGCTACACCTCCAGTAGCTCAATGTCAGTGGTGTGAGAGCTCCAATCACCTAGTGGAGGACTGCCAGGCTATGAGGGAGTCTACCACACCCCAGGAGCAGTTGGCCTTCATCGCCAATGCGAGGCGCCTCGATCCATACAGCAGCACATATAATGAGGGGTGGCGCCAGCATCCCAACTTCGCCTGGAGCAGCAACACCACTAAACCACCTGGTTTCCCAGCACCAGCAGGTGGTTTTCAGCAGAGGCAGCCCTTTCAGGCTTGCCAGGGGCCAGACCCACAGCAGCCCTACCAGCCTAGACAGGGCCAGCCATTCCAGCAGCCCCAGCGCCAGTTTGCTGAGCCAGCAGCAGCTCTGGCCCCAGATGACAGGATGACGAAGCTGGAAAACATTCTAGCTTCATTCATGACTAGCACTCAGGCTGCTATCACATCACTGGAGGCAGGTCAGCGGAACCAGGGTGCCATTTTGCAGGATCTGCAGACCCAGGTGGGCATCTTGGCCCGCCAGAACACCACCAGGGCACCGGGGACTTTGCCTGCCACCACTGTCCCGAATCCTCGAGATCCTCATCAGCATCAGCAGCTGGATGCCATTTTTACCACGAGCGGTAAGACCATATCTGCTGATCCTGTCCCGGCCAGACAGGAGGAACCACTGACTGCTTCAGCACTTCCAGCCGACGATGCAGAAGTGCGGGTGGAGAAAGAAGCCCCTGCTCCCAAGCCACGACCAGTGGTTAAGGAGCATGTACCCCAGCTTCCCTTCCCCACTCGCCTACACAAGGACAAGCTGGAGACTGAGTTTGCCAAGTTCATGGCAATGTTGAAGCAGCTCAATATCAGCATACCGTTCATGGAGGCACTGTCGAAGATGCCCAAGTATGCCAAGTTCATGAAAGATATCTGCACCAACAAGAAGAAACTTGGGGATCTCTCGACAGTGATGCTGAGCGAGGAGTGTTCTGCTATCCTGCAGAACAAGCTGCCCGAGAAGCGCAAGGATCCAGGGAGTTTTACTATCCCTCTTACTATTGGCAGCATGCATGTAGGAAAGTCCTTGGCGGACCTAGGCGCTAGCATTAACGTCATGCCATATAAGTTGTATAAAATGCTACACCTAGGTGAACTTAGCCCGACTAGGATGAGCATTCAATTAGCTGATCGTTCTATTGTGCATCCTAGGGGAATCATAGAGGATCTGCTTGTTGGTGTTGGTGCATTCACATATCCTATTGATTTTGTTATTCTTGATATACATGAGGATGTGGATGTTCCTTTGATTCTAGGTAGGCCATTTCTTGCCACCGCCAAGGCACTAATTGATGTGCATGATGGTAAGTTGATCTTGCGTGCTGGGGATGAACATGCTACTTTTTCTGTGACTGAGTTTGATCACTGTGCTATGATTGCTGTCACGCCTGTGCATGCTATGTCTGATCAGGTACACGAGCCTGTCGTGTATCCTTCTGCACCTCCTATTTTGCAGGACCCTCCTATCATTCCTTCGCCGCCACTCCATCCAGCCTCGCCTCCGAACAAAAAGCTCAAGGAGGAGTGGCGGCCGAAGCAGCAGGTTGCTAAGCCTGCACGGAAGAAGAGTGGAGACCACTATGAGCTGGTCCCACCTCCTGCACCACGACCACCCTGGCCGTCTGGGTACTCGCTCGCCTGCATCTTGCCAGATGGCCAGGTCGAGCTGACTGATGATGGTGGTCGCATCCGTCGGGTGCACGGCCACAACCTCAAGCTGTACCTCAAGAGCGACGTGGATCCGCTCTTGGAGGCACCTGTTCCTGCACCGCCGTGAGTATCCACCATGGGCGTCCAGCTAATACGACGGTAAAGAAGCGCTTGTGGGGAGGCAACCCCACCACGGTTTGTTTTTCTTTCTTGAGTTTTGAGTCGGTTTGTCACCCGGTTTGGGTTGGTTTGTTTTCTTTTGTTTTGGATGATATTTTATTGGGCTGACCGTTGAACCTAACATATTGTGTTTGAGCTCTTCTGTTCCCCTTTGGCTGTGCTTGCCCCGACTGGCCGTTTCCAGTCCCCTGCAGTCCGTGCATACCGGTAACATCGTTCCCCTTTCCCTTCCCTCTTCTCCATTGAGGGCAATGTCGAGCTTAAGTGTGGGGGGATGTTTATCTTTTGACTGCATTAGATCTGTTTGTGTGCTTGGAGCCTAGTCCACTGTCCAAATTTTTAAATTTGAGGGCTCCAAGTACGTGTCTCCTTTCAATTGCCTGCTCAGTATGCTTTGAATTGATAGTCTTTATAGTAATATGCAACCTAGGGAGGTAGTGTAGCACTATGGAGGATGTTGATGCATTTAAGGAGTCTCATTTCTTCTTCATATTGTGTTGGTTGATTGAGTGAATTAGTGATCTTAGGACCCTTGAATTGTGTGATGTTGTGGATTTTCTACCTGTCATGGACTCCTGTGTCATGTTTTGAAAATAACAGGTGCTCGAAAATGTGCTTCCAAACAAACGTCTCCAGTGCGAATAGGGCGAAAGTGTGTAAGGGGAGACGGGAATTCGTTCCCAATTTCCACCTACTACCTCTAGCCCCCTTACATGTCTTTCCCCCGCACGAGGCTCGAGACATCCGCTCCTGGCATGGCCGGTAAGAGCAGGTTGGGACCCTTGAAAAAGAAAAGAAAAGAAAAATATCAGAAAACAAGCAAAACAGGAAAAAAAGGGGGGTTCCAACCATCTTTAAGCAGAAAATAGAGCACCTTGAAAAATGTGAGTCCATGGTCTTTTGTTTTTGAGAATCTCTCCATCCACAATTCATTTGTCCTCTGTTCACTGTTTGCCATGATGCTGACTCACCAAAGAAGCTATGAGATGACTTGTGCGTCGGTTGACCTCGTAAGTTGCTAAATGACCTAGGAAGTCCTCTATCTACGATCTGGGTTGTTTGTTGCTATAGAGTTCAGGAGAGTTGCATTGGTTTGAGTTAGGTTTGCTTGGGGACAAGCAAACGGTTAAGTGTGGGGGAATTTGATAACGATGTAAATGCACATGTTTGCGCCCCTAGTTCTTATCCGTTTGAGGAGTATAGTCGTGTGTTTTGGCCTATTTTACGCCGGGTTGTGCTATTTTGTCATGGTTCAGGTCCCAGGTGTCAAAGGGAAGGCTAAGCGCGAGTTTCGGGGCATTCGGAAGTCATTTCGGTGAGCTGGAGCCAAAACACGGGCAGACCCAAGGCATTACACGGCCGTGTACTGCTGGCCGTGCTTTTTATGCCGAGAGCAAATTTGGTTTGGCGAATTCAGTTGCAAACACGGGCACTGAAGCACGGCCGTGTTCAGTCAAAGAACGGCCGTGTCCATCGCGAAGCACGGCCGTGTTTCCACCAGCTGCTGGCCGTGTAATTAAGCCCTGGCCGAGGCACGGGCGGAGTCAGGCAAAGCACGGCCGTGCCCTCGACCGTGCTTTGGCCACTGATGCTTTTAAGCAGAGTTTCAGCCACAATTCAAGGGGATTCGAGTTTTTGAGAGAGAGATCAGTTCCTAGAGAGAGAAAGTGACAAGCAAGAGTTCCCAAGTGCCCTAGATTGATCTTCAACACCATTGGAGGCCAGCTTGAGCTTGGAGAAGTGCCGATCAACGTCCAGAAGCAGGAATCCATCCTTCGTAGTATGAATTCCGTGTCTGATTCTGCTTTTGCTTTCTTCTCCATGGAGTAGTTTTCCCATTCATCTGGGTATGGAGAACCCTAGATTTGTATGTTAGGTTTGATTGTATGAACCCAAGTACTGATTCTGTGATTGATTATATTCGATTGAGGTTTTAATGATTGAATGACTTGAATCCTGATCAAATTCCTGTTGTTTCTGCTTTAACCTAGAATGAGAATATCTGCCTAGGTTAATAGAGTATCCTTGATTGAAGGTAGGGAGTTGGTGACTTTAGTCGAGGAGCCAACTCACTATTCTGTACCGGATTTACTCCGGTAGTGGAGGTTTTGTTCTTAGGGCCTCAATCTGCCGACTCCGGTGGAGGTTAGTCGCCCGCTAGAGAGTCAGATTGAGAGGGTCTGAAGACCTTTAGTCGAGACTTCAGGCTGTTTAAGAACCTTCCGCAGCATAACTGTCATAGAAACTGAACTTGGTAATTACAATCCGGCTTAACTGCAGTCTAGGGGGAACCATATCCGGGTGACCTCTTTAACTTGAATACAACCGTTTGTTTGCTTTGTTAGTTTGTTAGTTTAGACTTGCATTCCAGTTTCATTGCTAGATAACACGAATTCACTGAGTAGTCATCATATCTAGGACCCGGGTTGATAATTAAACCCAAACCCGCTATACTACGCTTTAGGAAGTGGTTTCACTTGGCCAATTCCTGGAGTGACAGTAGAGTCGAGTCAATTAGTTAACGAGAGTTAGCCAGTTTACTGCTTTGTACTGGAATCCAATTCCAGTAGTGGAATTCTGTGCTTATTGCTTCAGCTTTCTATCCCGGTGAAGACTAGTCGTCTGCCGGGTAGTTAGACTAAGAGGGCTTGGTTAGCTTAAGAGATTCCAAGCTACTGTCAGATCTTCCACAGTCTAATCAACAGTAAATCAACTCAGGGTAATTACAATTGCTACCTAACTAAGGAGCTAGGGGGACTCATTCGCGAGTGACTCTTCCTATGCTTCAGAAAACCGAACCAATTCCTGCTTTCTTTCTGCTTTTAGTTAAAACAACAATCAATCGACTTAGTTGGCTAGATAATAGATAATCATAGAGTAGGTAGTAGATCTAGACCCCGGGTTGATATATAGAACTTGCCACTTTACTGCAGTCCCATTCTGCGATTACACTTGGTCGCAGTTTGGTGTTGTGTTTTGGCGTGTCAATACGTGAATGCGCCTACTTTAACAAGCAGATCCTCTATGATACCTCTAGGATGCACAATAGAGCGATCAGCTAACTGAATGCTTATCCTAGCAGGGATAAGTTCACCTAGGTCTAGCTTTTTAAATAGATTGTATGACATGACATTTATACTAGCGCCTAGGTCCGCCAAGGACTTCCCTACATGCATGCGGCCAATATTGAGAGGGATAGTGAAACTCCCTGGGCCTTTGCGATTTCGGGCAGCTTGTTCTGCAAGATGGCAGAACACTCCTCGCTCAGCATCACTGTCGAAAGATCCCCGAGTCTCTTCTTGTTGCTGAGGAGATCCTTCATGAACTTTGCATACTTGGGCATCTTCGACAGTGCTTCCATGAAGGGTATGCTGACATTGAGCTACTTCAACATTGCCATGAACTTGAAAAACTCAGTCTCCAGCTTATCTTTGTGTAGTCGAGTGGGGAAGGGAAGTTGGGGTAGGTGCTCCTTAATTGTGGTTGTGGCTTGGGAGCAGAGGGCTTCCTTCTCCACCCTCACTTCTACATCATCGGCTGGAAGTGCAGAAGCAGGCAGTGGCTTGTCCTCCCTAGTCTCGGAAGGTACCGCCGATGTGGACTTGCCACTCCTGGTGGTGATGGCATTCAGCTGCTGGTGCGGCTCCCGTGGATAGGGGATGGTAGTGGTAGGTAGAGTTCCCGGGGTTCGGGTATTAATTTGGCGAGCCATGCTACCCATCTGGTTTTGTAGATCTTGCAAAACGGCACCTTGGTTCCTCTGGCTTGCCTCTAGTGAGGCTATGCTCTAGTCCATCCTCGTGAAAGTTGCCTGGGTGGTAGTCATGAATGCCGCTAGAATGTTTTTCGGCTCCATCATCTGATTATCCAGAGTCGGAGCTGCTGCTGGCTCGGCATACTGATGCAAAGGCTGCTGCTAAGGAACTGGCCCCTGTCTAGCCTGGAAAGGCTGCCTCTACTAAAAACCACCTGCTAGTGCTGGGAAACCAGATGGCTTAGTGGGTTGCTATTCCAAGCGAAGTTGGGATGCTGGCGCCACCCCTCATTGTATGTATTGCTGTAGGGGTTAAAGCGCCGAGCATTGGCGATGAAGTCCAACTGCTCTTGGGGAGTAGTTGACTCTCGCATAGCCTGCCAGTCTTCCACCAGATGATTTGAGCTCTCACACCACTGACATTGAGCTACTGGAGGTGTAGACAAACCTCTGCTCGGAATAAGACTGTTGGGCTGCTTCAATGTTTGCACTAACTCGGCCACCGGCTGCTCGAGCCCAGACCATGGTCCCAGAAATTCTTGCCTCTGGTGCTCTGCCCCCTGGAATGATCTCTGGCAGCCAGTGTACTGATCATCTAGTTCAGTTCGGGTGGTGTCTTAATAAGAATATCCCCTCCTGGGCATAGAGACTCAATCACCCTCTAGCTGTCTGGAGAGAGAGCACCGTAAAAGTTCCCCACGGTGAATGCATCACTGAAGCCATGATGGGGAGACTGCCAGAAAAATCCCATGTACCGCTCCCATGCATCGCGAAGGGACTCGTCTAGCTCCTGGCGGAAGTGAGTGATCTCCCGCTGGATCTCTGTGGTCTTTGATGCCGGATAGTACCTGTGCACGAACTTGTCAGCCAGGTCGTCCCAAGAGGTGATGGACAATGGGGGCTGGGTCTCCAACCACCTCTTAGCATTCCCCGCCAGAGAATGGGGGAAGAGGTGAAGGCAGATTGCGTCATCAGGGACACCGTTTAGCTTGAACCCGTTCGTCAGCTGCAGAAAACGGGAAAGATTCACCCTTGCCTCCTCATCCTTCAAGCCATGGAACTGGATAGAGGATGTAATGAGTTGAATCCAGCATGGCTTGATCTCGAAGTTGTTCGCTGGAATAGGCGGGTAGAGGATGACCGGGCGGATATCAGTAATCCGTGGAGTGTAGTAGTACTCCAAGGTGGGACCCGGCGGCGGTGGATGATGATGACCCCCATCTCCCTGGGGTATGGGGTTGTTCCCCAAGATCTAATTCACCGGGGGAACCTAGTGAGGATTCCCCTAGTGTGGATTGTGATCTCCTTCCATCTCGTACTCGTCCTCGGACTCGCTGCTCAAATGGTCGTCTATGCGCTCCTTCGTAGCCAATCTAGCTCGCTGTTGTCTCTTGAGTTGGCGACAAGTGTGTTCAAGCTCCGGATCCAACGGCATTAACCCTCGTGACTGGCTACGGGTCATGCATTACCTGCACACAGTCAAGCAGCAAACCCGTGAAGGCACAAGTGGGACAAAGCAAACAATGCGAAAAGGAAAGCTAAATTAACAGAATTCACGTTTCTTCAACAACCTAGTCGTCCCCGGCAACGGTGCCAAAAACTTGACTCACTCCAACTGCCACTCTAGAAAATGGCCAAGTGTAACCACTTCTTAAAGCATAGTATAGCGGGTTTGGGTTTTAATGTCAACCCGGGTCCTAGATGTGATGACTACTCAGCGAATTCTTATTATCTAGCGGGGAAATTTTAGTGCAGGTTCAAACAAGCAAACAAGTAAAGCAAGCAACTAAACGGTTGTTTTTAAGTCAAGAGAGGTCACCCGGATATGGTTCCCCCTAGACTGCAGTTAAGCCGGATTGCAATTTACCAAGTTCAGTTTCTATGATAGTTATACTGCGGGAGGTTCTTAAACAGTCTGAAATCTCGACTAAAGGTCTCCTGACCCTGTCAATCTGAGTCCCTAGAGGGCGACTAACCTCCACCGGAGTAAACAGATTGAGGCCCTAATGAACCAAACCTCCAGTACCGAAGTAAATTCTGTACAGAATAGTGAACTGGCTCCTCGACTAAAGTCGCCAATTCACTACCTTCAATTAAGGGTGCTCTATTAACCTAGGCAGATATTCTCTTTCTAGGCTAAAGCAGAAATAACAGGAATTTGATCAGGATTCAAGTCATTCAATCATTCAAGCCTCAATTGAATATAATCAAATCATAAAATCTGTACTTGGGTTCATACAATCAGACCTAACATACAAATCTAGGGTTCTCCATACCCAGATGAATGGGAAAACTACTCCAAGGAGAGAGAAGCAAAAGCATATTCAGATGCGGAAACCATAGTGTGAAGGAATGGTAATCTGCTAAGCCTGCTCAATATGCTTTGAATTTTTAGTCTCTATAGTAATGTGCAACCTAGGGAGGTAGTGTAGCACTATGGAGGATGTTGAAGTATAAGATTTTTCCAATCTAGCTCTCTGCTGTGCCAGTTGATTTTGTGAATTAGTGGAGCTAGGACCGTTGAATTCATGTGATAATGGTGACTCTATTTGGATTGTGTTATGGACTCGTGTATCGAACAGGGTGCTCATGTGAAAAATGAAATGCAGTTGGTCCTCCATGTCAAAATCTTTAAATCTTAAACATGGGGTAAGCCCAACGCGTGCGGCACCGTTCATTGCACAAAAATCGGGTTTTGGAAGAGATTTTTGTGATCCTTATTGGGGTACTCCTACAAGGTGAAGCTAAGTCGTCTCTAGTACAAGTAAAACTTCCACCCGTTGAACGGTTTGCCTACTTGAGGATGTGTTTTTAAGGGCACAGATAGAGCTTCCGACCCCCTTAATTTCATTGACCCTCCACACGAGTTGAGGAAAAGGATGCAGTTGGAACCCCCGCTAAGAGAATGAAAAAGAAAAAAGAAATAAAATGAAAGTGAAAAAGGGGTTCCAAAGGTGAAATGAAGTGAAAGAGCACCCCGGTACAACGAGTCCTTGATTGTGAATGGTGTGAGTCCCTTTATCCATAAACTAACTATCTTACTTCTACTTCTTCTCATGATCCTGGCTGGAGTCTAGTACTCGCATTGAGAGAGATAGGAGGACGTCTTAGAAGACCAGTTGACCGCGTAAGCTGCGTTATGATCTAGAAAATCCTCTACCGACGATCGGGGTTTTTTGTTGCTATAGTGTTCTGGAGAGTTGCATTGGTTTGAGTTAGGTTTGCTTGGGGACAAGCAAACGGTTAAGTGTGGGGGAATTTGATAACAATGTATTTGCACATGTTTGAACCCTTAGTTCTTATCCGTTTGCGGCTAGTAGTTGTGTATTTTTGGTGTCATTGCCGGGGACGGCTAGGTTGTTGAAGAAACGTGAATTCTGTTAATTTAGCTTTCCTTTTCGCATTGTTTGCTTTGTCCCACTTGTGCCTTCACGGGTTTGCTGCTTGACTGTGTGCAGGTAGTGCATGACCCGTAGCCAGTCAGGAGCATGAACACACCTGTCGCCAACTCAGGAGACAACAGCGAGCTAGATTGGCTACGGAGGAGCGCATAGACGGCCATTTGAGCAGCGAGTCCGAGGACGAGTACGAGATGGAAGGAGATCACAATCCACACCAGGGGAATCCTCACCAGGTTCCCCCGGTGAATCAGATCTTGGGGAACAACCCCATACCCCAGGCAGATGGGGGTCATCATCATCCACTGCCGCCGGGTCCCACCTTGGAGTACTACTACACTCCATGGATTGCTGATTTCCGCCCGGTCATCCTCTACCCGCCTATTCCAGCGAACAACTTCGATATCAAGCCATGTTGGATTTAACTGATTACATCCTCTATCCAGTTCCATGGCTTTAAGGATGAGGAGGCAAAGGTGAATCTTTCCCGTTTTCTGCAGCTGACGAACGGGTTCAAGCTAAACGGTGTCCCTGATGACGCAATCCGCCTTCACCTCTTCCCCATTTCTTTGGCGGGGAATGCTAAGAGGTGGTTGGAGACCCAGCCCCCATTGTCCATCACCTCTTGGGACGACCTGGCTGACAAGTTCGTGCACAGGTACTATCCGGCATCAAAGACCACATAGATCCAGCGGGAGATCACTCATTTCCGCCAGGAGTCAGACGAGTCCCTTCGCGATGCATGGGAGCGGTACATGGGATTTTTATGGCAGTGTCCCCATCATGGCTTCAATGATGCATTCACCGTGGGGAACTTCTACAGTGCTCTCTCTCCTGACAGCCAGAGGGTGATTGAGTCTCTATGCCCAGGAGGGGATATTCTTACTAAGACCCCACCCGAACTGAACCAGATGATCAGGACACTGGTTGCCAGAGATCATTCCTGGGGGTAGAGCACTAGAGGCCGGAATTTCCGGGATGGTGGTGTGCACGCCATGGAGGCCAGGTCCGGGCTCGAGCAGCAGGTGGCCGAGTTAGTGCCGACATTGAAGCAGCCCAACAGCCTTATTCCGGGCAGAGGTTTGGCTACACCTCCAGTAGCTCAATGTCAGTGGTGTGAGAGCTCAAATCATCTGGTGAAAGACTTCCAGGCTATGCGGGAGTCAACTACTCCCCAAGAGCAGTTGGACTTTATCGCCAATGCTCGGCGCTTTGACCCCTACAACAATACATACAATGAGGGGTGGCGCCAGCATCCCAACTTTGCTTGGAATAGCAACACCACTAAGCCACTTGGTTTCCCAGCACCAGCAGGTGGTTTTCAGCAGAGGCAGCCATTCCAGACTAGACGGGGGCCAGTTCCTTAGCAGCAGCCTCAGTGTCAGTATGCCGAGCCAGCAGCAGCTCTGACTTCAGATAATCAGATGACGGAGCTGAAAAACATTCTAATGACATTCATGACTACCACCCAGGCAACTTTCACGAGGATGGACCAGAGCATAGCCTCACTGGAGGCTGGCCAGAGGAACCAAGGTGCCGTTTTGCAAGATCTACAGAACCAGATGGGTAGCATGGCTCGCCAAATTAATACCCGAGCCCTGGGAACTCTACCTACCACTACCATCCCCAATCCACGGTAGCCGCACCAGCAGCTGAATGCATCACCACCAGGAGTGGCAAGTCCACATCGGCGGTACCTTCCCATGCTAGGGAGGACGAGCCACTACCTGCTTCAGCACTTCCATCCGATGATGTAGAAGTGAGGATGGAGAAGGAAGCCCCTGCTCCCAAGCCACAACCAGTGATTAAGGAGCACGTACCCCAGCTTCCCTTCCCCACTCGACTACACAAAGATAAGCTGGAGACTGAGTTTGCCAAATTCATGGCAATGTTGAAGCAGCTCAGTGTCAGCATACCCTTCATGGAAGCACTCTAGAAAATGGCCAAGTGCAACCACTTCCTAAAGCGTAGTATAGCGGGTTTGGGTTTTAATGTCAACCCGGGTCTTAGATGTGATGACTACTCAGTGAAATCTTATTATTTAGCGGTGAAACTTTAGTGCAGGCTCAAACAAGCAAAAGCACAAAGCAAGTTAAACGGTTGTTTTCAAGTCGAGAGAAGGTCACCCTGATATGGTTCCCCCTAGACTATAGTTAAGCTAGATTGCAATTTACCAAGTTCAGTTTCAATGATAGTTATACTGCGGGAGGTTCTTAAGAAGTCTGAAGTCTCGACCAAAGGTCTCCAGACCCTCTCAATCTGAGTCCCCAGCGGGCGACTAACCTCCACCGGAGTAAACAGATTGAGGCCCTACCGAACCAAACCTCCACTACCGAAGTAAATTTGGTACAGAATAGTGAATTGGCTCCTCAACTAAAGTCGCCAATTCCCCGTGTTAAAAACACGCCCGCGTCGGCCTAAACACGGTCGTGCCTAAATATGGACACGACCGTGTTTTGCTTTAGGCCCTCCCGTGTTTTGCTTTTCCATCAGTTCAGCTCTCGGCAATAAAAACACTAGCGTGCCTGTTTGTGTACACGCCCATGTTTTGGTTTAGGCCAGCCCGTGCTTTGGCCCCAGCTCGACCGAATGACTTCTAAATGCCCCGAAACTCGTGCTTAGCCATTCCTTCGACGTCCGGGACCTGAAATATGACAAAGTAGCACAATCCATCGTAAAACGGGCCAAAAATACACGACTACTAGCCACAAACAAATAAGAACTAAGGGTGCAAACATGTGCAAATACATCGTTCAGCTACATCAGAATCGGTGGTCTCTTCCTCTTCCTTCGATACATACTCGCCATTGTCAAGCAAGATCAGGGTCTTCTTATTGGCACACTGGCTCGCAATCTGTCCTCTTCCATGGCATTTGAAACAACGAATTTCCCCCGATGATCCACCTTGCTTCATAACTGGATTTCCCCCGACCGAATGACAATCAAACACTATTTCCATCTTTCGCTCCCAATCCAAATAAGCCTCAGGGTTCGTGGTACCGCGAAAAGGTGGAATCGTGACCTTGTGGTTTCGCAAATCGTCATCCTCCTGAAAGCCCTCTGCTTCCGCATCATTAAACTCCTCTTCATGATGATGCTGCCGCCCTCTCCTTTCAGCCCAGGCATTCCAAGGCGTCTATGCTGGCGCATATGACGCTGTACTTCGTGAACCAAGGGTGGAGGAGCTCGGTTTTCCCATCCCCTTTCTTCTTGTCGAGGTCTAGGGTTAGGGTTTGCATCGACCACAACCGGCTGCTGGAGCCTTGTCTTGACAGCCTCCATCCTCGTGGCTTGCTCGACAAGCCTTGTTGTTTGCTCTTCTTGAGCATGAGCAATGTTCTCTAATTGATTTCTGATCGCTTCGAGTGCTGCTTCCATGTTCGTGATGCAAGAAAACTCCAAGAACACAAGAACTTTCAAGAACTCGCACAACCTGCCTCTTGCCTCGCAAGAACTCCCAAGAAAAAACAACCTCCTGTCTTGTAGCTCAAGAGCACGCCAAGACCTTCAAGAACTAGCACAAAACCACCAAGAACACGAACAAGAACGCACAAGATCTTCAAAAAAACTTGAAGAACACGCCACTGATTTGAACCTTAGCTCTGATACCACTTGATATAATCAAAGTTGCACAGGGTCAAGCTTCTCAAACCAAACAGAACCGGATAGGATGGAAATCGATCGGACAGTACTCACCCGTGAATAAGGGCAATCGATATATCAGTCGATCGGACAGATTCAACTCGGAATAAAGGGCAATCGATATGGGTAAATCGCCACAACCAAGGTGAATACCTAGCTGATAAGAGTCGCTCTAGCACTCTGGAGATTCTCGACAGGGTAATTAGGGCAAATTCCGCATAGGGAACTCGACAAAAGCCTCAAAATTCAATAATAATCGTCTAAGGGCAAACCAACGTGTTCAGCCCTTTAAATAGGAAAAGTACAACCCAAATCTGACTCCAACATGGAAAAACAATCATAACCTGACTTTAAAACAAGGAAACTCGGAAACCCCAGCAAACCCGTTAAGCCCAAACCGTTAAGCCTGGACCCGTTAAGTAAACTTGTTAAGGCTGGACCCGTTAAGAAAAACTGTTAAGGATGCTTCTTGCAATCTGCCTTCTCTCCAGCACTTCCTCCTTCTTCCTCCACTCTAATCATCATATAGGGCTTCCCTCGAAATAGCTCCACGTCCATGGCTCCAAAGTAGCTCTCCAAATATGTAGCAAGCTTCTCCTTAACGTACTTGCCTTAGCACGTGTGACTCCTCCAAATGTCTTGTAATGTTGATATGCATGTGATTCATTGATTGGTTTCGCTTTATAAACACATAAACCCCTTAATTGAGTCATAATGACGATACGTGCACCAGTGCAAACTCTTAGTAACGAGTCCAAATTGTAAAATAAGGTGGATTCGCACTCCAAATGTCTTGTAACGTTGATAGCCATGTGATTCACTGATTGGTTTAGTCATTTAAACACATAAACCGCTTAATTGTGTCATAATGACAAGACGTGACGATTACGAACTCTTAGTAACGAGTCCAAATTGTACAATAAGGTGGATTTGCACTCCAAATGTCTTGTAATGGTGATAGACATGTGATTCACTGATTGGTTTAGTTATATAAACACATAAACCCCTTAATTGTGTCATAATAACAAGACGTGCACGAGTGCAAACTCTTAGTAACGAGTCCAAATTGTACAATAAGGTGGATTCGCACTCCAAATGTCTTGTAATGTTGATAGACATGTGATTCATTGATTGTTTTAGTCATATAAACACATAAACCGCTTAATTGTGTCATAATGACAAGACGTGCAGGACTCACTCCTACTGTCACTCTAGAAAATGGCCAAGTGTAACCACTTCCTAAACCGTAGTATAGCGGTTTTGGGTTTTAATGTCAACCTGGGTCCTAGATGTGATGACTACTCAGCGAATTCTTATTATTAAGCGGTGAAACTTTAGTGCAAGTTCAAACAAGCAAACAAGTAAAGCGAGCAAGAAGGTTGTTTCAAGTCGAGAGAGGTCACCCAGATATGGTCCCCCCTAGACTGCAGTTAAGCCGGATTGCAATTTACCAAGTCAGTTTTAATGATAGTTATATTGCGGGAGGTTCTTAAGCAGTCTGAAGTCTCGACTAAAGGTCTCCAGACCCTCTCAATATGAGTCCCCAGCGGGCGACTAACCTCCACCGGAGTAAACAGATTGAGGCCCTAACGAACCAAACCTCCACTACCGAAGTAAATTCGGTACAGAATAGTGAATTGGCTCCTCGACTAAAGTCACCAATTCACTACCTTCAATTAAGGGTGCTCTATCAACCTAGGCAGATATTCTCTTTCTAGGTTAAAGCAGGACCCAACAGGAATTTGATCAGATTCATGCCATTCAACAAATCAAACCTCAATTGAATATAATCATATCATAGAATCTGTACTTGGGTTCATACAATCGGACCTAACATACAAATCTAGGGTTCTCCATACCCAGATGAATAAGAAAACTAATCGATATATAGAGATGGAAAATCTAGCTCAGATGCGGAAACCATACTGTGAAGGATGATAATCTGCTTCAGGCGCTCAATCGGATCTTCTCCAAGCTCAAGCCGGGCTCCAATGGTGATGAAGATCAAGCTAGGGCACTTAGGAACTCTGGTTCGTCACTTTCTCTCTTTAGGAATCGCTCTATCTCTCTAAAACTCGAAACCCCTTCTCCTTTGGCTCAAATCTGCCTAAATGGCCGACCGTGGGCAAAACACGGTCGAGGGCACGGCCGTGCTTTGCTTTTGCCCGCCCGTGCCCTTGCCACGTGTTAAAAACACGGCCACATCTTGGGGAAAACACGATCGTGCCTAAAGTTGGACACGACCGTGTTTTGACTCACTCTCGCCCGTGTTTTGGGCCAGCGGAGGGAAATCTTGGATCAAGCCTCGGCAGTAAAAACACGATCCAGGAACACGGCCGTGCTTTGGTTTAGGCCAGCCCGTGCTTTTGCCCCAGCTCGATCGAATGACTTCGAAATGCCCCAAAACTCGTGCTTAGCCTTTCCTTCGACGTCTGGGACCTGAAATATGACAAAGTAGGACAACCCGGCGTAAAATAAGCCAAAAATACACGACTACACGCCGCAAACGGATAAGAACTAGGGGTGCAAACATGTGCAATTACATCGTTATCAAATTCCCCCACACTTAACCGTTTGCTTGTCCCCAAGCAAACCAAGTCAGACACAAGGTAATCTCAAAACGTTTCAATCAAGCAGGCTTTAGGGCATATCATATCGGCAAAAAACACGTGAATCATACTGGCTTTTGATCATTAACACATGGACAACCTCAACGACAACCTAGACAACCACCACAGATGACATTCGAATGCAGTAAAGTCGAGCAAAGGAAGAGTCTCCCTTCTGTTCACCAACCAACATAGACTTGACTCAACCACTTATTCAAGACAGTCACTTCATGCATAAAGCTCAAGATATCAGAATTAAGACCGAGCAATCTAGGTCATCACCGGGATAAAGAGTATAGAGAATATGAGAAAATGAATCGCTCACTCTCGACCAGTGGGGTCAGGACAATTTGATGCGAAAAATGCGCATGCTTATTCACCATGAAGGCAGCCTCTAAATGCTAGAGTTCACATATGGGGTGTCACCACTAACTAATCCGGAGGTCTTAGACACAGGTTCAGATGACTGGCTAGGGTCTTGGAAATGGGGAAAAGGCCTTTTAGGTGGTGGAAGTATTCATAGCACAAGGTTCCACAATTCCAAACCCTACACACTCACAGTCAATCAAACCACTCTTTCTTTCTGCCATTCTGCATTACTCTTATTCTTTAGAGCACAAGAGCGAAGGAGGTCACCTAAAACTTAGTATTTCCCAGCCACACTGCTAAGAAACACTACTCAATGGGCGTTATTCAGATTTTGTGGTGGTGGCTCTCTTTTGCTTTCATTCACTTTTTTTTTCCGTTTTTTTTTCATTTCTTGAGAGAACCACCACCTATGCACATTTTGCAAGCGCATGCCCTTTTTTTTCAAGAAATACCTCCAACTCTCACATTATATTAAACAGAAACAGCAGAGAACATGGAGAAACCACTCTGTGGAACCTTCTAAAAGATGCAAAGGGGTGATTTTCAATTAAGACCGAAAGAAAGGATAACACACGGCTCAAAGGGCTGACTAGGGGGTATAACATATCAGGACAGTTAATTTGGTCGTGGGCTAATCCTACACCTCCATCATCTTAGCTAATGACAACGTGAATGCTGCACATCATGGAAGAGGGAACTATCGCACAAGAAAGAAACGAGCAGGCTCAAGTCTCACATGGCTACCTATATGCTCTATCTCTCATTCTGATTCCCTGAACTAGATGCATAAATGACTGTCAAGAGCAAGTGATTAATCCAAGTTATAGTTGGTAAGCAAACAGTTGAAAAACTAAACCCCTACACAATTCTACTACACATCTCAGTCAACATAATAAGTTGTCTTAGTCACACTCAAGTTGTCATGCATTAAGTCAAAAGTCATTCAATTCACCAATCACATCCACAGTGTCAATACGATCAAACATCAAGCAAACAACAGTACTTGGAGCCCTCAAATCTCGAGATTTGGACATCGGACTAGGCTCCAAGCACACATATATATGTTCCAATTAATACAAAGAACCCCCCCCCCCCCCCACACACACACTTAAATTCTACAGTGTCCTCAATGGAGCAGAGGGAAGGGGAACGATGTTACTGTGAAATGAGATCAGAAACGGGGACTGGGAGGCAGAATAGTCAATAGGAGGGGACTGGAAGGGGAACCAATCTAAGGCACAGAGCTAAAGTCAATTAAAAACACACACTGGGTGAAAGAATCGGAGTTCCAAGTCTACAATCCAAAATAAAAAAACAGAACAACACGAAACAACAAGAACATGGAGTCTCAGTCTGGAAAAAAATGAAGTGCAGAACCAGCCACTCGCCACTAGAACGCATCGCCACCATCTCCGGTGGGTGGAGGGTACTCGTCCTCATACCCCGGTGACTGCACGAAGGGGTAGTGGACTGCGTTCGGGTCCAAACCCAGGTACGACTTGATATAGTGCTGGCCGGACATAAGACGACGGTCGCGGTCCCGCTCATGATCGAGGAAGGTGTGAATGCTCTCCTAGCCGGCCAGAATGCGCTCGTTCTGCTGAGCGATGGCCGCCAACTGGTCAGAAATGGGCACCACGGCAGCAGGAGACCTGGGAGCAGTGGAGGGGCTTGCAGGAGTCTTGGCACGACAAACAGTACGGCGGGGAACCCGACGTCCCCCAGCTGCGCTCGACTCTAGATGGTCGCCCTCTGCAGGTTCAGGTGGACAAGGGAGACCCCACAATCCAGTGCACACGCCCTTGTCGAGCAAGCATATGCTGATGGCGGAGGATGGCTTTGCTGAATGGGGTCGGTGCCGCCACTCCGGACGGAGGAGAGTGGCCCGCGTCTGGCTGGCAACGTATTGTTCATCCACATGGTTTGGCAGGCAGATGCGCTGGAAGTAGGCCACGGAATCAAAGTCGGTGGGATCTGTCACCTCCACGTATAGGAGCCGATCGCTGGGGTGCGGGGAGTTGAGCCGAAGTGCACTGGCCAACTCCTAGTAACTGATGGAGTGCTCCACCCCGCCGAGCGTGAAATGAACCGAATCAGAATGGTCAGCTGACCCCCTCTGGGAGTGGCGGAAGGATGCGTAGAACTCCCAGAAGAGCTCCTGGTAGGTCGGCTCGGCGAGGCAGAGAAGGCGCCGCCAACCATAGGGGCGAACAACTTCCTCCATCTGCGGCCTGGCATGAAGCACCTCGAACACCTCAAAGTCGAGATGCAGGTGCTCGGTGATATGGCGGGTACGGATGGTCCGCAGCAGATGGCGTTGTGTGATGCTCAACTGGTCGAGGTAGGCTTCCATGATCCTGCAAAACACAAGGATGTAGAAATTGCACACAAGCAAACAGGGTCAATGTTAGTCAAAAACCACATTGGGAGCCCTCATATCGAAAGATATGGATAGTGGATTAGGCTCCCGGTGAAACAAGTATACCAATCACACGAGAATCACACAAACAAACACACCAGGGACCCTCAAATCGAGCGATTTGGATAGTGGACTAGGCCCCCGGTAGAACAAACACAAAATCCATACCAAAAATTCACCAATCGATCTAGCATACATAAGCCACACAAGCACGCATACACTGCCAATATGCAAATGGTAGGCCGAAGAACTGAAGTCCCGGGACAAAATTATAACAAGCAAAGAGCGCCATCAGCTTACCAAAACATTCACAAATAATGCCACAATCCCAAATTCTTCACCTAACTCTAGGTATCGATTCTCCAACAATAAAATGGGAGGCTTTGAAAACACACCTGGAGACGCAAGTAGATACCGCAAGGGAGGTGAAGAAAGGGAAAAAAACACCCCAAAGGCGCTGGAAGACCCACCGGAGACTCGCCGGAGAACTCGCTGTCGGTGACCCAACCTCGGCCAAACAAGCCCAAACCTCTGGGGATTTTGCTCCTCCACGCCAGGAGCATGGGGGCGGTCGCGGTTTGTGATTTGGAGGTCGGGAGAGGGAGTTATGGCCGAAAAATCGGAAGAGGAGAAAACCAAAATTCTGGCGAGGGGGCGGTGAAAATTTGAATAAAATGAGTCTGTGGGGAGAGAGCGGCCAAAAATCGATTTTTATAGGGGGATTAAATCACGGGCGGGTGACCGTGTTTTCCATGCTCCGAGCCCGTGTTTTTACTGCTGAGGGCGTGCTCCCCCCTTTTGAAAACACGGGCGTGTGTTTTTGAACACCAGCGCCCGTGTTTTTATTGCCGAGAGCACTTATGGCCACCTTTCAAAACACGGGTGGGCAGGGGAGAAAACACGGTCGTGTTTTGCTCCCCTGGCGCCCGTGTTTTTTCTGCCGAGCCCACCTCTGCATTTTTTCAAAATCCCAATTTCAAACCACCAAAACTCATTCGTGCCCCGGCTCTTAAAATTACCCAGGCACATATTAAAACGAACCGCCCGAGGCACGAAATACTTTCCAGACAGACTCCAGACAGACTCAAAGACTCAAAAACTGACAAAAATGAAAAGGAAAAAGTGTAGAAATGCAAACCGTGGTGGGGTTGCATTTCTACAATATGGTGTATTTGCACTCCAAATGTCTTGTAATGTTGATATGCATGTGATTCATTGATTGGTTTCGTCATATAAACACATTAACCGCTTAATTGTGGCATAATAACTAGACGTGAACGATTACTAACTCTTAGTAACGAGTCCAAATTGTACAATAAGGTGGATTTTCACTTTAAATGTCTAGTAATGTTGATGGGCAAGTGATTCATTGATTGTTTTGTTTTATAAACATATTAACCACTTAATTGTGGCATAATGACATAACGTGCACGAGAACGAACTCTTAGTATCGAGTCCAAATTTTAAAATAAGGCGGATTTGCACTCCAAAATATCTTATAATGTTGATAGACATGTGATTCATTGATTGATGGAGTTATAGAAACACATAAACCACTTAATTGTGGCATAATGACATAACGTGCACGAGGAAGAACTCTTAGTACCGAGTCCAAATTGTAAAATAAGATGGATTTTCATCCCAAATGTCTTGTAATGTTGATATACGTGTGATTCATTGATTGGTTTGGTCGAAGAAAAACATAAGCATCTTAATTTAATGACAAGACGTGCATGAGTACGAACTCTTAGTAACGTGTCCAAATTGTACAATAAGGTGGATTTACACTCTAAATGTCTTCTAATGTTGATGGACATGTGATTCATTGATTGGTTTCGTCATATATACACATAAATCGCTAAATTGTGTGATAATGACAAGACGTGCACGCGTACGTACTCTTAGTAACGAGTCCAATTTGTACAATACGGTGGATTTTCACTCCAAATGTCTTGTAATGTTGATGGACATGTAATTCATTGATTGGTTTCGTCATATAAACACATAAACCGTTTAATTGTGGCATAATTACTAGACGGGCACTATTACGAACTCTTAGTAACGAGTCCAAATTGTACAATAAGGTGGATTTGCACTCCAAATGTCTTGTAATGTTGATATGCATGTGATTCATTGATTGGTTTCGTCATATAAACACAAAAACCGCTTAATTGTGGCATAATAACTAGACGTGCACGATTACTAACTCTTAGTAACGAGTCCAAATTGTACAATAAGGTGGATTTGCACTCCAAATGTCTTTAAATGTTTATATGCATGTGATTCATTTTTTTTATGAATAAGCCAATTTTATTCCATCAAAGGTTCCTATACCTACTGCTTTCCTTCCTACAGAAACAACAATTACAAATGCAAAACCTACACTTCTACAATTCTACAAGTTTACATGAACCAAAGTTTCCTCTTCTCTACAGCTAATCCGAACTTCAGATTGCCCAGCACCATCGCCTCCATTATATGCCTCAGCTTATCAATTAGATCCTTTACTTCAACTGACTTCTTACTATACACTCTGCAGCATCTCTCCCGCCACAACACCCTCCCCACACAACAGCCTTGCAATTTCTCCACTGCCTCCTGCAGACCAGTTTCCCACCCTTCTCTAGGATAGCAATCCCATCTCATTGGGAATACAGCTCTTATCACCTCCTGCACATAAGAGCACTCAAAAAACAAGTGGTCCCTGGACTCTTCATGCCCCAAAAACAATGGACATTTATTCACAATCTCTGGCTGCCACTTTTGTATTTTGTCAAAAGTAGTTATTCGATTGAGAGTAATAAGCCAAGATATTAGCGAATTCTTTGGGATGAGAATAGACTTCCAAATCAGTTTATACCAGACCTTCTCCTCCTGCTTAGGTCTGAATTGTTCCCATACCGTTTTTATACTGTATTTGACCATCATCTTTCCTTCCCAGCATACCCCTGCTCGTGTCTTGATTAGGTTCCCCTGGACTTGACTCCTCAGCTTCAAAACCTTATTCCATAACCAAGCCCCAGGAGTACTCGTCTCCCAAATGCTGACATTTCTCAATCTGTACTACTTGAGCCACGCTATCCACATGGTTTCCTGGTTAGACAGGACATTCCATAGAGGCCTAACAAGATAGACAGGCTTTGTTCCAACTGTGCAGGTCCTTGAACCCTAACCCTCCATCCTTTTTCGGCAAGGCCACTGTTTTCCATGTTACCTTCACTTTTTTTTTGTTTCAGATCCCCATAGAAAAGCAGAGCCTCTCTTCTCAATCTCAATTAGTACCTTCTTTGATAATTGGAAGATCATCATCCATAATTTTGCTATACTTGCTAGCACTGAAGTAACTAATTGTAACTTCCCTGCATAAGAAAGGGTCAGAACTTGCCAGCCAGTTATCTTTTTCAAAATCCTGTCTACTAGAGTCTTACAGTCACTAGACTTTAATTTTCCTGCAATCAACGGAACCCCCAGATACCTGACAGGTAGACTGCCCTCTTGGAACCCTGAATGTGCAATTAAATCCGCTTTCAGCTCCTCATCGACACCAGCACAAAACAACTCACTCTTCTGCGGATTACACTTAAGCCCCGAAAACCAGTAAAAATGCCTGAGCACTTCAGCTACCCCCTTCACCCCTTCCACTGACCCTTTTGTGAAGATCAAGAGATCGTCTGCAAAACATAGGTGCGATAATCCTATACGTTGGCAAAGAGGATGAAAAGGCAAGATCTTCCTTTTAGTTGCCCTTGCTAACATACAGCTGAGGACTTCCATCGATACGACAAAGAGATAGGGAGACATGGGGTCCCCTTGTAGTAGCCCTTTTCTTGCTTTGAAATACCCTGTTAATCCCCCATTCACACATACTGTAAACGTGGCAGAGCTCAAGCAAGTTCTAATCCAACCAATAAACTGCAGAGGAAATCCCATAGCCTCTAACACAGTGAGCAAAAAACCCCAATCAACACTGTGAAAAGCCTTCATTATATCAACCTTGATAGTTCATGTGCTAAAATGATGTTATCACTTATCATTCTCCCTTTAATGAAAGCAGACTGATTTTTACTAATCACCTGGGGTAAAATATCTCTAAGCCTATTGGCCAACAGTTTTGACACACATTTATAAAGGAAGTTACAACATGAAATGGACCTATACTGTTTGAGAGAATTTGCATTAGGGACTTTAGGAATGAGGGTTAGAATTGTACCATTCACTTCTATCAGCAGTTTCCCTGAAGTAAAGAAATCCTTAACTGCTTATGTGACCAGCTCACCAACCAGAGTCCAGTTATGCTGAATGAACTCAGCTGTAAACCCGTCAGGCCTAGGGCCTTTATCTATCGGCATTCCAAAGACCACAGCTTTTACTTCATCGTCCGAAACTGGAGCACAAAGACCTGTGTCTTTAGGAGGAAGATGATGGACCAACAGTTGCTTAACCATGTTTATGTGATACCTTCGCACCTCTTCATCCTCCACCCCCAGTAGCCTCTTATAAAAACTGATGGCTTCCTTCCCAATGTCCTCCACGTCAGTTAGTATTTCCCCTGCCTCAATGACCAATTGTCTGATACTATTTCTGCTATTCCGAATTTTCACTGAATCATGGAAGAATTTGGAGTTTGTATCCCCTTCTGCCAAACATGATTGCCTTGATTTTTGTCTGAGCAAGCTTTCCTCATCCCGCTGTAGCTAAATAATCTGGACCTTACACTTCTGCTCTCTTGTAAAAGAGTTTGGAGTAGGACGCTCCAAGGCTTCAACTTGAGCTGCAGCCAGAGATGCCCTAGCTAGAAGGACCCTCTCATGTATATCCGAGTAGTGGACCCTATCTTTACAGTCGTTGTTTTACTTGCTTCAAATTTTGATATAGCCTAAACATTACACATCCCCTAGCTGGATTGTCCCAACCTTCTTTCATTAATCTCTCATACTCCGGATGGTTCCTCCAAAAATTGAAGTATTTAAATGGCCTTGGCAAGGTTTTTGTCTGCATGTCTGTATGAATGAGGATACCAAAGTGATCAGAAAGCCCTGGTGGCAGGATCTTAACTGCACTCCTAGGGAACTTGCTCAACCAGTCCATGTTCATCATTGCTCTATCCAACCATTTTGCCAGAGGGTTAGCTACCTGCTTGTTGGACCAGGTGAGCCAAGGTCCATCCACTCTATGATCTTCCAACTGCATATCTGTTAATCATCCCCCAAATTCAAGGGCACTGTCACCTAACTCAACCTCCTCGATGCTTCCTGACTGCTTACTATAGCATTAAAATCCCCTACTATCATCCATGGTTTATTCTTGTCCACCACTGTTGTAACACCTTAGGCGAATCCCACATCGACAAAGCACGGGAGAGATCCATGGTTCATAAGTAGGAAATCGACCTTAACTCACAAGACGCGTTTTGGGGTGTAATGGAAGAGTTCTTGTGAGAACTCCGAAGTTAAACGTGATCAGTGTGGAGTACAACAAGGATGAGTGACCTTATGGGAAGTCACCTTGAATTGCACCCCAAGTCGAAATCCGTGCGGGTGTAGAGGCCCAAAGCGGACAGTATCTTGCCAGGAAAAGGTTCGGGATGTTACAAGTGGTATCAGAGCCTCTCTGTGTCCCTCTTGAACGATGGTGGGGAAAACCTCAACGAGGACGTTGAGTCCCGAGGGGGGGTGTATGTAACACCTTAGGCGAATCCCACATCGACAAAGCACGGGAGAGATCCATGGTTCATAAGTAGGAAACCTACCTTAACTGACAAGACGCATTTTGGGGTGTACTGGAAGAGTTCTTGTGAGAACTCCAAAGTTAAACGTGCTCGGTGTGGAGTATAACAAGGATGGGTGACCTTATGGTAAGTCACCTTGAATTGCACCCCAAGTCGAAATCCGTGCGGGTGTAGAGGCCCAAAGCGGACAGTATCTTGTCGGGAAAAGGTTCGGGATGTTACAACTATGCTAAACTTATTATACAATTCTAGGCGTTCCTTTGCTTCATTAGAACTGTAAACTAGTGATTCATTTATTGATTTCGTTTATAAACTCATAAACCGCTTAATTATGTCATAATTACAAGACGTGCACGAGTACGAACTCTTAGTAATGAGTCCAATTTGTACAATAAGGTGGATTCGCATTCCAAATGTCTTGTAATGTTGATAGACATGTGATTCATTTATTGGTTTAGTCATATAAACACATAAACCTCTTAATTATGGCATAATGACACAACGTGCACGAGTACTAACTCTTAGTAACGAGTCCAAACTGTACACTAAGGTGGATTTTCACTCTAAATGTCTTGTAATGTTGATGGACATGTGATTCATTGATTTGTTTCGTCATATAAACACATAAACCGCTAAATTGGGTCATAATGAAAAGACGTGCACAAGTACAAACTCTTAATACTGAGTCCAAATTGTACAATAAGGTGGATTTGCACTCGAAATGTCTTGCAATGTTTATAGACATGTGATTCATTGATTGGTTTAGTCAAATAAACACATAAATCGCTTAATTGTGTCATAATGACAAGACGTGCATGAGTACGAACTCTTAGTACCGAGTCCCAATTGTCCAATAAGGTGGATTTGCACTCCAAATGTCTTGCGATGTTTATAGACATGTGATTCATTGATTTGTTTAGTTACATAAACACATAAGCTGCTTAATTGTGTCATATTGACAAGACGTGCACGAGAACGAACTCTTAGTAACGAGTCCAAATTGTAAAATAAGGTGGATTTGCACTTTAAATGTCTTGTAAAGTTGATGGACATGTGACTCATTGATTGGTTTTGTCATATAAACACATAAACCCCTTAATTGTGTCATAAGGACAAGACGTGCACGAGTACGTACTCTTAGTAACGAGTCCACATTGTACAATAAGGTGGATTTGCACTCCAAATGTCTTGTAATGTTGAAGAACATGTGATTCATTGATTGGTTTCGTCATATAAACACATAAACTGCTTAATTGTGTCATAATGACAAGACGTGCACGATTATAAACTCTTAATAACGAGTCCAAATTGTACAATAAGGTGGATTTGCAATCAAAATGTCCTGTAATGTTGACATGCATGTGATTCATTGATTGGTTTCGTTTTATAAACAAATAAACCACTTAATTGTGGCATAATGAGATAACGTGCACGAGTCCGAACTCTTCGTAACGAGTCCAGATTGTACAATAAGGTGGATTTTCACTTTAAATGTCTGGTAATGTTGACGGACATGAGATTCATTGATTGGTTTCGTCATATAAACACATAAACCGCTTAATGTGTGATAATGACAAGACGTGCACGAGTAGAAACTCTTAGTACCCAGTCCCAATTGTACAACAAGGTGGATTTGAACGCCAAATGTCTTGCAATGTTGACTTGCATATTATTTATTGATTGGTTTTGTGTTATAAACACATAAACCGTTTAATTGTGTCATAATGACAAGACGTGCACGAGTACGAACTCTTAGTAACGAATCCAAATTGTACAATAAGGCAGATTTTCACTCCAAATGTCTTGTAATGTTGATAGGCATGTGATTCATTGATTGGTTGAGTCATATAAACAAATTAATCACTTAATTGTGGCATAATGACATAACGTGCACGAGGAAGAAATCTTAGTAACGAGT